CACATGTTCAATTAATTTTGCGATCCTTAATCATTGAAAATCCTTTTGGTAATACTAACGTAGATATTATCGAAACACTGTTAAATATTGTGAGTAAAAATGCAAAATATTCAGTTTTCAACTCGAATTCAGTTGTCACATCTGGACATTTAAAGTGAAAGGCCTGGCTCTCTCTACAATAGCAAATGAATGAAAAATCAGTATGTTCCAGAGGCACTGATAAATCAACAATTCTCGACGTATTAATAATGAAGGGTATTCCAAATTGGTGAAATCCACAAAAGAATGCAGAGTTTGGAAACTTTCTAATTAAAAAATTGGCAGTTTCATCTTTGGGATTACATTTCTTTTCTTCCCTATATTTCCTCAAATTATCCACTTTACAATATTGACAATAATTAACCCAATCTTCAATTCTGGTCTTTGAATCAGTTCTTTGTCTAATCATTGCATTCAAATCTGAATATCCTTCACTTTTCCCATCCATTTCACATAATAATGTCTGACAGCTCACATTTAAATTTCGTTCCCAATCAGCAACTCTCGAACATAATGCCTCATCCTCCAATCCAATATTTCTCAATTCTGAATTATAAATTGATTTCCTATTATATGGATAATATTCATAAACAGTTGGTAATCGAATAGAAGTACATCCGAATGAAGATGGAATCTCCTCTCCCATCGTAAACATCCTATCATAATACAAATCATCTCTCATTAATCGAGTGGTATTCCAACAATGTGTAAAATAGTGATCGGAGAGTGTCCAATCTATTTCTTCCATTAAATAGGCTTGATCATCATCTATAGATGATTGTTTCCATTGATCTGATGATATTTCCTGATGTATCAGTGATGATTTTCTGATAAATTTAATTTCCTGCTGGTTTGTGTGTTGGATTTGAATGCCAACCAGCAAGAAAATGAGCAAGAGCAGAATTAATAGATGATGTGGAGACATTTTTTGAGGTAGTTCCCGGGTTCAATTCCCGGTCGACGCATCAGAAAGATATCAATTTTAACCCTTTTTGGAAAGCCTTAGTCTTTCAAATTTTAACCACACAAACTAGGCTTGTAAAACTATCAGAGGTTCAAATATCTCCTTTTCATATATTATATCGATGGAGAAAATAACCACAGGTTTAACCTCATTTTTTTTCAAATAAAAATTCACACTTTCATTAATTTGTTTTTGAGCTTTTACTTTCATTCCTTGAATGGATAATTCCCTATTTTTATCAATGCCAATTTAATATCCCTGTCCTCTCTAAGTTCATTTGAAATAATTTCATTACAGAGAATATTTTTAGAAATCATTTTGAGAATTATTTTCTTTTCTTTGAAAAATTCATGATTTGGAAACTTTTTTATCAAATTAGGACGCANATCTATCATTCTCCAAACAAACTCACTATCCTCCAATAGACTATCAGGAAAACTTGATGGATCAAAAAGAAATAAATTTACATTCTTAATAAAAGTTTCTACTATTTCTCGATCTGATCTGAGATGGATAGGAACTA